GGTGCCAGACAGGACGGCCCCTGTGTCAGCCCCCCCCCCCGACTCCAGTTGTACTGGGGCAGGGCCCCAGCCCCAGTCGCGCAGGAGCAGCCAGGGGGACCCCAGCCACACCAGTGGGACCTCACCACCCTCCCTGCTGCAGTGGCTCAAGGCAGGCAGGTGGGACCATTCCGGCCATGTTGGCAAAGACCAGCAGGATCTCAGTCCCAGCAGTGCTGGAGGCCCCAGCTGTGCCAAGCCATCACGCAGGACCCAGCCCCTCTGACATGGCCATCTACCTGCCTGCCAACAGGTAAAAGATATTTGCTCAGTAGAAGAATGCTAGTTTCCAAATTCCATGTAGTGAGGGCCAAACAAATAAGACAATATTTATCGTGAATGAAGCCAACAAAATTGTATAAGATCTAGTTACAAGACAAACTCAACAGATGTATCAATTATAATATGCAGACAGTTATGGAAAGGCTTCTGTCCTGTGTGACAATTATTTAAAAACTGTCCGACTGCAAAAGCTACTATAAATGTAATTAAAAATTATGTTTTACTGGTTGACTGTTCTGAAGAGCTGCTGGTATCTAGACTTTTGGAAGAATGTTCCCTAAGGACTTCCAAAGAACTGGTGATATCCAGACTTTCTGAAGACATGGGTCTATACCCTTCTGTAGAACTGATGATATCCAAAGTTTTGGAAGAATGGGTGCTATAGCCTTTTGAATTGGCATCTCTTATGATTATCTCCTGCATGGATCCGAATATTAATGGAACAAAGCCTTCGCTGTCAGCTGTGAGAACAATCCAAGTTGAACCTGTAAGAAAAATATCCATTTATTTATTAACAATACTTTTTCTTTTTGCAACCCACTTTTTCAGGCATAAATAATATTGCCAAATACCGACCTTCTGATGCAACACAAAATCTGAAAATTGAATTTTACAAGAAATGATTTTTTACTGTTTTTTCTAATTAAGCCTAGAAGTGATGTAAATTGGATTTTATCTGAAAGAAAATTAATGTACTGTTGTGTACTATGCTATTGGCTAAGAATCAGACAACAGCTGTGCAAAAGTCAGTTCTCTTAGACCAACTTTCCCACCAGCAGCGACTGCTACAATACATATATATTAACACAACTATAGATTAGATTACATCCACAGCCTCCTGCTCTGAGTCCCCAAAATCCTTAAGTCCCTTCCCTGACTCCCGTACCCCCCCACACCCTCAACCCTGAAGTACCCAAGCTACACTGGATAAATCTTCTAATAGGAATATAAAAAGTATCTGAACTTTAACCATCATGTACTGAAAAAACAGTACTCCTGTAAGTATGAAGCAATAGCTTCTTTTAACAGCTGTGCACAGCAACATACCGATAGGTGTTAAACTCTAATTATTAGAGTATACTGTACAGAACATTTCCAGTAGAGAAATATTTCATATTCCAAGGATGTATGTTTTATCTCTTTGCCACAAACAAAACATCAGGTTGGATGTGGGGTACGTGGATAAAGGCCGAGAAGAAAAAATAGTAAGATTGATTTCTATAGTTACTGTCACACTGAAAAAGCAGCACAACAAAATTCCCAAAGCTGCCTTTGCAGTGTTAAAAAATTATAAAATGTGGTTGTGAGAATAGATAATGAAGTTGACAGGTTAAAATTTTGAACAGGGTTTCAAAGAAATTATCAATTCAGACATCCAGATCTGTCAGAATGCTCTTTTGTAAAAGAACTAAGAAGGATGAATACAAAAATGGGATTAAAATATGATTCATCTGCACCTCTGTTAGCTAAACAAAGGCAACACTGCTTTGCCCAATAAATCTAGGTTTTAGATAAAAAGGAACTAATTTTAATACAAGAAAATAAGATTCTTGTACCATATTATGTTTTTAATATCTTTTCATTATTTTACACCTTGTTTTCACATATCTAAACTTCATTGTACTGAATGATCAGAGCTTACCATGTTGCATTTCAATGAGAGAGAGGCTGAAAATCTGCTGCACTACACTTAGACGGAGTTTACCATTGCAGAGAATAACAGCTCGCCTTTTATCTTCCCCAGGTTCAGAAAGCTGCTTCTGTAGATACAAGGAAGAAACCATTAGGCAAAGCTGTGTGTGTTCTAGTTACAGTGATATTGAAATGACATCATCATCAAAACAGTGTCTCACAAATTTGTTTTCAACAATAGTGCCACTTACAAAAATAAAATACAACATTTGTTTGGACCAACTAGTTTGCAAGGTTATGGCCTGAAATCCCTTTGCTTATGATGAAAATATCAGTGAGCAAAGGTAGTAAAGTAAACTACATTATAAGGTTAGTGTTCAAGTGGATAGAGGATGAAAGAAATAATGCCACATGGCTGACATGGAATTAGTGGGTTTGGAAATCATCTTCATTTAGCCCACTTTTTGTTTGTTTTTGTTAGTATTTGTTTATTGGCAACTTTCAATTTATGCTTTTTTGTAATTAAAACTGACTTCATTTAGAGTCTGTTTCTCTTTCTTTGAATGTTCCAAGATTTGTGAGGCAGAGTTTCCCAAACTTTTCTTGTGTACCCTCTTTCAGATCTACCAGCTGGCTGAATAGCCATACCCGTCTCATCAAAGATACTTTTTGTGTTCTTCTTAATAATGCCCACCTTTAATCATCTCTCTGTATTTCACTGTTATGTGACATATGCAACTAGAAAAAACAAAAAATCCCAAGTTCTGCGCTCAGCTAGGCTGGACAGTTGCTGGACACCTGAACCCATGCTGCACAGTGGTGATTGGAAGTTAGGGCTCTAGACTCCAGCATATCTCTATTTCTGTATTTTCACGGATCATGTATCTTGAAGTAAATTAACTATCATATTTTATATAACAAATTATCATACTTTTAAAGCTTTTCTGAACAGCCTATTATAAAACTGCAATAAATAAAATAAATATTCTGTACCCTGAGAAGTATATATACACACTACAAGTTTGGGAATCACTGATGTAGCACATAGTGTAGGAAAAAAAATTTAAAACCAAAAAGTTAGTTTTTACTAACTTTTTAAAAATCTCACAAATTTAGTTTGTTTTCAGTGGAGTTTGTAATTGCTTCCTCCCTACCACTCTTTACACTGAATGTCGTCTAGATTACAGGCAGTCCCCGACTTACGCGGATCCGACTTATGTCGGATCCGCACTTACGAACGGGGCTTTCTCGCCCCGGAGGTCGAGGTGGCGGATTGCTACCTGCGAGCTCCGGGGCGAGAAAG